TGATGTCACGCGAAGAAGTTCAGCCTTTAACTTGGTGTAGGGAGCATCAGTCGGGGGATCTCTCAGAAGCGTCTGCACTTGAGAAAGAATGGTGGGAGGGAGGGCCTCGACCAGCTTATAAAACTTGTCGGTTTCACGTGTTATCTTGGCGGAGTGAAAAGTCGCCTAAATACGGAAAAAATAAAGCTCTGGCGCATGTTGCCAAAAGTCTGGGAGAGACGAAACAAGTCCACTGAGAGAAGTAGTTGGATCGTTGGAATTCGTTGAGGTCATGATTGTAGAAAGAAAGAAGGCAAACGGGCGGTATGCAAATAGAAAGTCCACAAATTAAAGGTATAAGCGTGAACGTCAAGGGGTCACCACTGTGGCAAACGCTAAAGACAGAGCCGTCAATCCCAGACTATGAAGATCAGGATAAGACCAGAGTTATGAGAGAATTAACAATCAAAAGTCAAACGACCTGACAATCCAACTCATGCCAAGCTCGTCGCGTCGAGTTGTGTTCCTTCCATTCAGTTAAACAACCAGTAAGTTCAAGAATGAGGAACAGATAGAGAAAGGCAAGATAGTCTGACGCCTCGGCACACATCCACCGCACTCTCTCCTCCCTTGCCTGAGCCCGGTGTCAAGACAGAGGCAAGAAGACCGGAGACGAAAGAGGCCCCAGGTGGATGGATTGGGCGGATCCTTACCTTCGCGTTCCACCACACCCCCTGGTCCACAAAATGTATAACAAGATTTTCCGCCAACACAAAACATATTGGAGGACGGCACGGCCGAAGCCGCATCTAGGCCTACCGCAAACGCCTGGCCCAGAGCCCACAGAGTGGGAGAGCCATAGAGGCCACATTAAGAAGGAGCCATTGCAGCCTGACTCTCAGATCACCAGTCGAGGAGGAGGTACAAGTCATCCCGTCAGTTGGCAACCTTCCAAGCCACGACTTTTAGCGCACCCTGATATCTTCATGCGCGTCAAATTGTTTATAGTGAGGAGGAAAATGCGCTGAGTCCTCGACCTCACTCTCCCTTCCCACTCACACTCCCCAGACACTGTCCGAGCCGGTTAGCAGACTGGAGAGGGAAATGGGTCCGGTGGCTGGCATAGTGTGGTGACCTTGTCTGCTCACGCCACATGCACCATCTGGCCCACCAAACACAAGCACCGGAATTCCACACAACGGGGGTTGGGCGGCGCATCTCTCACATGCCTGAGAGTGCCGTAGGTCACGTTAAGAATGAGCTGCTTCAGTCTGGCTCTCGACTCACCAGTCCGTCACTCCACACATACACGCACAAAACTCGGCTGACTGTGTGGACTGCGTTGAGACGTCATTTGACAACTATCCAAGCCACGACAATTGGCGCACCATGATAGTCTCAGGCTCAGATCATACATACAGCAGAGGAGTCATATGGAGAATGAGACGAGAAGTACACTTCCCATCTAAGTGCGAAGTGTCAATTTGGTGCTTTCGTTTTCAGGCGATGGATAATGAGGATGTGTGGTGAAGGTGCTGGTGGGGGAAAGTGTGATGGTATGGTGTAGTCGTCAGTGGTCAATCTCTGGTTTTCGTGGATGTGCATGTGACCTAATAGGCACACGCAGTGGCGATCACTGGAACAAGAAGTCGTTAATCGCCGCAATTTCATCATCCGTGTTGGATGTTGACGTGATGATTACTCGAAACAAATTCCGTAGGCTGTCCAATCCAACGTCATCCAAGAACGACGAACTGGTACACAACCTGTCGTCAACGGAGCTGACGGAGGAAGAAATACAGATGTTAAGGCATGAGGCCTCATTAAACACAGCCGATG